ATCGACACATTACTTTTTATAGTTTACTATAAAAGTTCTATATTCTCATGTGTTTATTACAATACTTTCTGTTTTAATACTATTTCCTTACTGTTAATATCCTTGATATCGTGCCGATATCGAATCATGGTTGCTCCAAGAATTGTGATTTCCATCCTTAATATGGTGTTTTATAATAACTGTTACTTAAAAATTTCTTTATAAATCTTTCCCTGATGTGTCGATATCGACGATATCGCTTCGATATCGAATCATGTTTTGCTCAGCCCTTGGTAAATTCCTTCCCTGTTTCTATGAATGTGTTTATGTTTAAATACTTTACTTTTACGAAGATATTACCTGCCATCGATATCGTCGATATCCACGATATCTTATCGATATCGAATCATAATTGTTAAGAGCATATTACTTACCAATCTTCACCCTAATACAAAAACTTTATATTTACATCACTTCTGTGTTTAACAAGTTTACTTTACTGTCGATATCGACGATATCGTATCAATATCGAATCATGATTGTTAAAACATTTTCAAGAATTTTCACCCTAATCCAACATCTTACTCTAAATCTAATTTAAAACAATAACAACCCTAAAATTTTCTTAATCATATTAATTTATTTTTATATTCATGACAATAAGGAATCAATTTTGACTTCACTTGTGACTTTCTTAAATTCTGTTATACCTCAATGTGAAAATAAATTGTGCAAATAGGATCGATATCGATACGATATCGTCATGATATTGTCGATATCGACGACATCGACATAATATAGAGTCTCAAATACGGCACCAGGTATTTCCAATTAATAGTGTTCACCATGATCGATATCGATACGATATCGACATAATATTGTCGATATCGTCGATATCGACATCGCATTTGTTCTTGGACTTGTATCGAGTCGAAGTGTTGGGACATTTCCACATAGACGCTAGGAAACCAGATGGTGGGAAATATAAAACAACATCGCTTGAAAATATCCGCCATGGACTGAATAGGTTTCTTAGATCACCGCCTCATAACAAGACTTTCGACATCATTAAAGACGCTGCATTTCAGGATGCAAATCAGAATTTCAAGGCGATGGTGGCCGAGTTGAAGAGGGAGGGACTTGGATCTATAGTACACCATCCCGTGACTGCAGAGACGGACAGGACAAAACTATACACATCTGTATATCTGAATCCAGCAACACCTAGTGGATTGTTTAATAAAGTTCATTTTGATATCAGGCTATACTTTTTCAGGTATGTAAAATCTGATGATGTACGTAATCTTCTACAAAATTTTAAATTATTTGTGTAGTTTGAATGTGGGGGATTTAGATAAAGGAGTCAGGTTCTGTCAATATATAAAGATAATTATATTTTGGATAAATATATTTTTGTTTTTTTGTTGTTGTAGACGAGGTTGTGAAAACATCTCCAACAGGACAAAACACACATTTGTCATTAAAAAGAATGTAAAGACAGGCTTGCGTTTTGTGACTAAGGGCCTTGACGAGCTGACCAAAAATCCCAGAGAAAGTGACAAAGAAAATATATCCCCTATTATGCCAGAGACACCAGGTATATTAATTTTTGTTTCAAGTAGTACATATTGAAAGAAATCTTTGTTCAAATAGAAAATTGAAAGATTCATTAATATGTATTTTATCTGTAACACAGGTTCACCATATTGTCCTGTCAGAAGTTTTGAAAAATACATCAGCAAATTGAACCCAGAACTTGACCGTCTCTGGCAGCGGTCCTTGTCGTCTTTCACTGATGATGATGATGTGTGGTATGCCAAAGTGCCTGTTGGTGCTAAAACCATTGCAACATTCATGTCTGATCTCATCAAAAAATGTGATTTATCTAAAAATTACACAAATCATTCTTTTCGGGCAACGGGAGCCACAATGCTGTCCAAAGGAATGTATAGCCCATCACAAATTATGGCGGTGACTGGTCACAAATCAGTCCACTGTCTTATACCGTGTATCAGAGGGTTGACGAGGATGAAAAGATGAAAATGGGACAAAGCATCTCGGAAGCACTGCTGCCCACTGTACACAACCAACTTGCCTTGCCCTCCACTAGCAATACAGTCACTGCATCCAAACTTGCCTTACCATCCAGTAGCAATACCGAAGTCAAACTTCCCTTACCATCCACTACATGTAACAATGATATAGATCAAGTTGCTCTCCCCGAGGATGCCAAGTGTTTGGAAGGAAAAGTGATTTGTTTGGGGACTTTTTCCAAAATACCAGTGCAAATGTTAACAACACAGCAATGCTATCCACCCAAAAAAAACCTCACGATCTTTAACAACTGCCAGTTTACGATCAATTTTAACATAAATGGAAATAAATGTTGAAACAGTTATTATACTATTCATGTTTATTGCAGTCTTAAAGTTACAAATCCATGATTGTACATCATCTGTTGTTTGTTAATTTTTTTGTTACTTATTATATTTAATGTTGACTGTTATTGGATAAAAATGTGATATTTTGATAATAATGCTCTTAGGGGTTTTTTTAAGAGACATATTTAAAAAAGACTTCAGTGGGATAAATTCTTCATTAAATTACATATCTATGATTATACATCATCTGTTGTGTGTTAATTTTTTTGTGACTTTTTATATTTAATGTTGACAGTTATTGGATTAAATTGTGATATTTTGATACATGTAATAATGCTCATGTTATTTTTTTCAAAGAAATATTTAAAAAGGTCTTCAGTGGGATAAATTAGTTACACAGTCAGTTAGTGACCTAATACGGAGTCATACAGTGTGTGAAATGGAAATCCGTATTGGGACTCGGCTTCGCCTCGCTCAATACGGATTTCCATTTCACACCCTGTATGACTCCGTATTAGGTCACTAACTGACTGTGTAACTAATAATTTTATCACCTATTCTATAAGCAAGACTAGAATTTGAACCAATAAAGGTGTGGCTTTTTACCTTTTTATGTCTGTTAATTATGTACCCTGATAATTTCCTCATAATCGTGTTAACTTGTCTCATGAAACATAAGGAGATAACGAACAGTATTAATGATCAAAAGTGCACAATAGAACAATACAAAATAGGAGCAGAACAAACACGGGACCTCCAGAACTACAGAGATGGGATCAGGTGTCATGGAGGAGTGAACATTCCCTGCTGACCAGTCAGATCCGCCGTGTGCACATTGTCATGATCTGGAAATAACGGCAAAATTTGTCGTTAATTCAGTTTATAAATAATGGACTAACAATAAGTATGTAAAACGTCAGTCAGCATTTGACTCAATGATAAATTGTATTTGCAGACAAGGGCATTATATCGACCATAGAACTGACGAAGTGATGACTGTAGAAATTCTTGTTTCATCAACTTGTTTGTCAATAATTTACCTCGTTTTAGAAATTGCTCATACTTAGAGAATGCTCTTACGTATCGAATCAATTGAGATATACAAACTCCGTATGCAGGTGATGAAGGGTACATTTCTGCATAAGTAAGGGTTCATGTAATTTGACTTACTGAAAGTAAGATTTCAAAGTATTTAAGGTTTTTCTAATCAATTTCATCTTGATTCCTTTTTTGAATATCAAATATCAAAATTTAATCATTTCTCAAAGAGAGTAATAACGTACGTGTGTTTTTATGCAAAGAAAGTATTCAAATTATTTTTATTTTTGAGAAAGTAAATAGTCAACATCTTCAAAAAGAAAAGAAATATAAAATCTGGTAAGGTCAATCGAGTGCTGAAGAGAATACAATGTCAGTTACTCACCGAAGAAAGCCCATTGCATCTTCTACTAATCTCGAAAACAAATTATAACAAAATGAAAGAAATACAAAAAAATTCATATAAAATAATTAAGAGCTAATATCGACCTTTTAATGCTGAAACCATTGTTTAAAAAGGATGACTCAAAGATCTATAAAATAAAAAAGAATTGGTGTGGCATTCCACCTTAACAGTGCTATACGAGGAAAAGAATATGGGCCGTACGAGCTGGTTTCTAGCAACTAGCCAAAGTCTCTATCAGGAGATCAAGTAACAGTTGAATCCTGCAACTGATGAGAGGTCGCCTCATTAGTATTTTTTTAGTTTACCTTCCACCTCAAAGAGAGATTAATGATGTTTCACTCGTGTTTGCACAAGTATGAAACTAAATTTGAATGCTACTCATATTATAGTGTCGCCGTTTTATAGCCGTTAAAATTTGTTTGAGTGAGTGAAATAGATATATATATTTCCCAGGACCTATCATAAATTTACATCCAGGTAGATCTTCTTCATCTCGTTTATTGCACATTTGAGCGAGAAGACGTGTCATATTTTTCGCAAAATGCAGCATTACATATATTAAACATATAAGTTTAAGAATCACGCAACTACATGTAGCACAATATAATATATGGATATAACGATTTCATAAAACTATATTCAAGTTTGCTATATATTCATACGATAAATAGATTATCTCATATTTTAAATATTGTAAGGGGTCAGCTACAATGCATACATGTATACATGTTGAAGTCAATATTCAGTCATTTATTTTGACCTATGTTATAAAATAGCAGTACTGAGGAAGAGAAAACTAAATATACGTCAATTATTCAACTTCCCTCCGCAGATTTTTATATCTGTTAAGTGTGTCTGGTGGCGCGCAAATGTTTTATGTATGATTTATTAAATAACGAAATATACGAATATAGTCAAGCATAACGATCATCGTTTTTGTTTATCAAAAATGCTATGGTATCACATACATATCATCATCTAATTTATATCAAAATAACGATTTGAGTTTATACAAGTAATATTTTAAATAAAATTTCAAACAATAAATTATAAAATTCCAAAGATGTGTTTATAATAGTTAAGAGTGAAGACTCTTCAAACAATTTTTTTTAAAATGTCTACTGATATATCGACTTCAAAGAAAAGGATCGACCTTGTAGATAGGTTAAATATGACAAGTATAATGTTGCGTTTTTAACTTTTATATCTGTCGGATGGGGAGGAACAGGAACAGCAACATGACACCAGTAAACACAGAAGCAAACAAGATGCAGTTAATTCCGACTTTAGCAGCTGTGTTCCAGTCGGTCCGTTTTGCAAGCAGTCCTGAAAAAAGTTATAAAGGCGCATAGACACAGATTTTAAGTTAATGTTTTCTGTATAATATCACGACTTATATATTGTAATAGCATTTCGCACGAAAATAAATTAAAAAAATCTTATTTCGTCTAAAAGTTATTGAAATTTAAATTTTTTGGATGAGTTTGAATGACACATCCTTGCACTTTCACAAATTTTAATCTTATTCTTAACACTTAGGAAAAGTGGAAATATTGTTATATATTAATGAAAAATTTTAAAACTTAAATACAGAAAATTCAGAGTAAAAATGTTCCTGCAGTCCGTGCAGTTGTGATGAACAGACCTTAACAATTGAACACAACCGGTGAATCGTAAACATTTACTATAACAGATCTCGTGCCCAGTTTGCAAAAACTGTTTACGTTTCACAGGGGTTTTCAATTTGCTAAATTCTGTACATAACACTAAGAGAGGAATGATGATACCTGTGAAAAAAATTTGCTTTCGAACATTTCTACATCTTATAATTATTTTTTTTTTGGATTAAAGTTTTAATATTTTTCATTAAAGATTTTCATCCCTAATAGGACCGAATTTTCTACCCTTAAATGTCCATCAAGTACATAATACTCTGATATTGAATTAAAGCTTTTATAGTAGAAAAGGATTGTCCGCGAGAAATTTTCAAAAAGTTCACTCACTTATCATTAATTAATTAACAATTATTGCATTGAATTCTATGGGGAAAAGCATTTTTTGAAAAAAAATACTGCGGTTGAAAGATGCATTGAAGCTTAGAAATACAATGACAATTTTAAAAATATTTTTTTGCCCGGATGTTCTTTGAAATTTTTTATCATTCAAAATAGAGGGATATAACTCTTACCAAAATTTAAGGTCATGATTAAGGACACATCCCACAATTAATGCTAATAGAAATAATTGGGATTTATGTCTAAATATACTGAGTATTCAACCCAGTCATCTGTTATGTATTCAATGTCATTGAATCTGTTGCTATTAGTGTTAGGGATTGAATACCTTAATATGCATTTAAATTGCCACTTTTTCCTAGGCATTAAGAATAAAATTAAAATTTTAAATTTTTTTATCACTGCTCAGAGTAAATTTGTACATTGGAAATATCAGACTTTTATCAGTATTGATTCATATAGGAATGAATTCTTAAAGGTAAAATAATACGTAATCATTGCTCTTTTTTAGGTCAATATTATGATTAAGATATGCAAGGAGTATGTTGATATTCACCGAGCCTGACGCTCAAGCAGATATACATAGTTTAGTATTTTATGATAATTGCAATATCCCCTTGTTACTTTTCCCCCCTGAAAATAGTACATTTATTCTATAATTATAAGTTTAAATGCATTTATTTAAAAGTATCGATTGAATAACAATCTGAATATTTTTAAATTTATGATGATAATCATATTTTTATCAGTAAATATACAGCCTTGAATTTCTCAAATAATATCTATTTCTATTAATTTAGGTGCGGTAAATTAAAGACGTCCCTTTACATCCGGCTTACTGTGCAGACCTGTCGGATTGATCTTGACAATTGATTTCCTGATCACATTTTAGCCTTTTGTCAATAAAGGTAACGTCAATACACCGAAACTCATTCTAGGAGCAGATCTTGGTCTCTGGCTCCACAATATAAAACCTTTAATAAAAAGATTGTTTTGTGGCTTTAATTTATGCTTTGCGTTTAAATACAAATCAAGTCAAATACATGAACCCTTAACATTTAAATAAGTAAAAAGACTGCTATTAAGTTAAACCAAGTGCTGGTAGTAATTACCATGCTCTCCCATTTAAATGTTGCCTGGGTACCTGCAGTTGCTATTTAGACTTATATTTGACATTCGATAGACCTTTATTTGGCGAATTCACCGGATTCTAGGGACCAA